TGTCTGCTGACATTCAAATAATGGAGGTCTATGGCACCCGAGACAGAAAGGTCCATAAAAGTCCACAAAAAACGTGTCAATATTCCTCCATACTGGTCGTCCAATGTATTCCAAGTGTCCTGAGTGGGTAGCATCCAGAATTTACTCGAAACGAAGTCATTTAGAATGTTTTTAGAGCATAAACAGTAGTGTATAGGATTTCCTGAAAGCGCGCAACTGCGCGTTCATGACGCTACGGAAGCCGGCAGACCAAACCAGATGAAAGTGCGCATTCAGCGTCTGCTCTGCCAATAATGCAAGCGTAGAAGAAGAAATGTGCTGTTTACCTGTGCAAAGAAAGAAACAACGAAAGAAAAATGTCTGAGGACTTCAGTGTTGAGGAAGAGCATGAGTTCTTTGCTGAGCTGAATGCGCACTTTCATCTGGTTTGGTCTGCCGCGGTTTCCGTAGCGCCGTGAACGCGCCTTCAGGAAATCCTATACACTACTGTTTATGCTCTAAAAACATTCTAAATGACTTCGTTTCGAGTAAATTCTGGATGCTACCCACTCAGGAAACTTGGAATACATTGGACGACCAGTATGGAGGAATATTGAAACGTTTTTTGTGGACTTTTATGGACCTTTCTGCCTCGGGCGCCATAGACCTCCATTATTTGAATGTCAACAGACAGCAAGAAGCCTCCCAGATCTCCAGATGCATTTGAGATATCAAAAAAGTACTCCAGAGTGTTGTTCAGCATGGGGGTGAGTAGAAAATGAAGGCTAATCATGTTTTGGGTGTACTATTCCTTTAAACTTCGGAGTACAGTGGCTGGAGGGTGCATTTGCACAGCATACAAAAGTACTGTAAACACAACATTGAGATGAGCACACAAACACAGGCACTCAATCGTGTTTCTCCATTGTTGTTAGGACTTTGCTTTGACATCCATTCATTTCTACCCCATTTCTTACACAATTCTAACCCAATCCCCAACCTAAACTCAATTCACACCTTAGTCGAAACCAAACCCTTAAATTGGAACTGTACTCATGGGAATCAGCCATTGGTTGTAGTTGATCCCTGTGGTGTGTTTTAATTTATGGAAAATTGTCTCCAAATGTTAGAAATACCAACAAATGCAAATAAAACAAAATGCTGCTGAAGAGAAATGCCAGAATCACAGAAAATAGGTAGCAGTACAGTTCAAACAGACTGCAAATACATAAATGATGCTAACACACAAAACACATATAGAGAAAATTGCTCCTCCTAGTGGCCTGGAACACTTCCACTCTACAGAGCCCACTCACAGCTTTACTCAACCCCTTAAGCCTGGCGGGCCTGGTACAGTTCCCAACTGACACCTGCTCATGTTTATCTATTATTATAGAACTGGCCAAAACACAGTCACATGGTGTTTCATCCACACACCTTTAAAATGGGGCTTTAAAATGTCTAAAACATGTTTCAAATTATTTTTTCACAAATACTTTCTGTTTTATAGCTGTGTAAATAAATACAATTGGATTTCAAATTCCACCTGACGTGTGACTCTGTGGGAGTAATGCAACAGCAGGTATACATTTTTTGCCACACTCCCTCTTTGCCGGCATCATTGGAAACTACACTGAAAAAAATGTAAATCTAGATAAGACATTTTTTCTTAAAATAAATGCATTATTTCTTGAATTGAGGAGGTAAATGAGACACTTTGCCAAAGGAACAAGACAATTTACATTTGAAATAAGAAAAATAAATTGCATTGTCTTATTGCATATTATCTAATTATCTTATTTTAAGTGTAAAAATACTCATTCCATTGGCAAACCATCTTATTTACCTGCTCAAATTAAGGGTAAATACACTTGATATAACTAATTTTTACTTAATTTCAGATCGTTTTTGCAGTGGAGGCTCAGACCTTTTCAAGGACGTGTTAGAGATAATTATGTGAACATTTTAGGTGATGTAACAGGCACAAATACAGTATGCTTCATGGTGTTTGATCGTGTTTTGCAATGTTTGTTTTGAAGAAAAAAAATTTAAAGAGGTTAAATATTTCTATTTTTTCTTTGTTTAATAACCTATAAATCAGACATGGTGACATTTATATAGTGGTCCCACCTGCAAAATATTCCTCAATGCCTTTCTGTCACACAAATACAAACAACTTTATTTCCAATATAGTTTGAGAGCTTTACTTTTACAATTTTAGTCTTTGTCTGATTTTTAGTCATTTTAGTCTTGGCCACCGCCGGCATCGGCAGCATGATCAACCATTATCATGCAGGTTGTTTCGTTGTCCTTCGCGTGGTAAACAAAATGGCTCCATACACCCAGGTGTTGTTTTCGCCCAGCTCCTCCAACAAACTGTACAGCGGTATGCGAGCCCGACGCCATGACTGCGAAGTTAAGCTAGCCACGATTAACTACTACCAGTGATTCTAGGAGTATAAGCCCTCTGCTACTACTGACTGAGCGGCGCGAGGCACTGTGGGACAGGCGCCGTCTACGGACAAACAGGGCAACAATGCGTAATCTTCTAAGAAGTTCAAGAAACACTTATATTAACAAATACAAATTACAAATTAATTACAAACAATTACATTTTTTAATGTCCAATGTCCATTCGTCAATGGCTTGTAAATTTTGTCTGGTCTTAGTCTAGTGAACGAAAATAATTTTAAATTCTCGTCATATTTTTATGTGTTAGCATCATTTATGTTTCGGCAGCTAAATTTTGTTTATATATTGTGTTTATGTATATGCGTTTAGCAAACCCTTTTATCCAAAGTGACTTCGAAAGTAGACACATTGGTACAATGAGGTAGGCATTAGCGTGATGGATCTTGCCTAAGGTGGGGATGCGAACCGGGGGTCTCCTTTGTGCAAACTGTGCGACTTATCGCTTGACCTAGCCAACCGTTCCAATGGGAATGCAGCACTTGTTGTTTGCAGCTCTTTTTTATTTATGTTAGCCTGGTTTTTTTCTTTGCAGTGCTTTTTGGATTTTCTGTACATTCATGTATTTCTAGAACATTTGCACTGCTCGGCCACCATATAAGAGAGATTTTCATACGAGAGGAGCTGAAAGACTCCAAGGACACAAAGGCTGATTCCAAACTGGGCATAATGTAGCTCCTCCTCCTGGAACTCCTGTTCCTTGGAGCTGTTCCTATGTTTTCTAAGTCATAACAAGGTTTTGGTTTGGGCCATTTTATAAGCCTGGAACTCAACGCTACTCCAGAAATTTTGAATTAAGGATGCTCCCTGGACGGGAAGCAAAATGTCCTCAAACTTGAAAAAAAAAGTCCAGTGGTTTGTTGTTGTTTTTTTTTACTTTTTTGGAATCCTGTTCCTAGAGCTCATGTAAATTCTCCTTTCATGAGGTCAAAGTAGAACTCTATCCAGGTTAGGAAAAGAGCTCTGGGCTGCTGCAGATAGCCTACACTGGAAAAAAACAAAAAAACAATTTAAATTGTTCTAGGTAATTTTTTCTTCAAATAAGTGCATTTGTTCTTGGATTGAGGACATAAAAGGGACATTTTGCCAATCGAACAAGATAATTTATTTTCAAAATAAGAATTGAATTGTCTTATTTCAATTCATGTTATCTAATTTTCTTAGTTTAACAGTAAAAATACTTACTCAAATTAAGGATACATACTCTTTATTTAAGACATGTTTTACTTATTTATAGATATTTTTCCAGTGTATTGCATTATGATTGCAGCCCCATTAAGCAACAGCAACATGAATGAATGATGATTGTCAGAATGGGACTACAGCCTTCAGGAAAAGAACCACAAGAAACCAAAGCTCTCCAAATGTAGGGAACTGCTGAAGCTCTCCCTTATAAAACCAGAGAAAAGGATACACAAAAAGGATTTGGTGGTGGTTAGCGCGCACAACCCATGTTCCACCCAGGTTCAAATCCGACCTGTGGTCCTTTGCCGCATGTCTGTCCTCCCTCTCTCATAACCCCTTTCCTGTCAGCCTACTGCCAAAAAAAACAACAACAAAAAACAAGCCACTAGTTCTGTAAAAAAAAAGGTAATAATGACTTTTTTATTTTGAACTCTTTGGGCTGTGCCTTTACGTCACTGTCACACAAAGAAGGTATAGCTCCCAAGCATAATTCAGGAAAGTCAATAGGTTCCTATTAGATAGATAGATAGATAGATAGATAGATAGATAGATAGATAGATAGATAGATAGATAGATAGATAGATAGATAGATAGATAGATAGATAGATAGATAGATAGATAGATAGATAGATAGATAGATAGATAGATAGATAGATAGATAGATAGATAGATAGATAGATAGATAGATAGATAGATAGATAGATGCTCTTAACATAAAAAAAGAAAATGAATTGTTCAGCCTTATGTCTGCAGACAGCCATGTCACCTAGAGAAATATATGCTTACAAATGACACCACATACTAATCTGGATAAACGGAGGGCGGCTACTCAGCCGGCTCAATCGTCATGGTTGTGTGGATGCTACACCCGGCCACATGTCTCAACGAAAGCATTAATAGAAAGCTTCTAGTCTGTTGATGAAAAAAATCCATGCAGGGCCGTAACTCTAGCTTTCCTCATCATTCTGCATTATTTCCTAATGCATGGAAGCTGCTATTAAAGGATGTCCTACATTTGCATCACACTAACAAAAAATTAATGTCCTCTATGAAATAGTTAGATTTGGCTGTTAAAATGTAAATATAAGAGAGGGGCAAATGTTTGATTTAATGTCAACCTGGGTTTCAGAGCTACAGCAACGCTCATGGTGGCGTCACTGCGTTGCCATAGCAACGACGGCTTTCTTTTTCCAGTGGAGGGAGGAGGCCACCTGATTTAAAATAAGTTAACTTTTTTCTTCTTTTTTTCCAGTGGGCCTAATCCTCTCCCGTAACATTGTCTGTTGTATATGATGGCTATAATAAAAAAATAAAATAAAAATCCTACCTGACCCGCCCCCCTGCGCCATGACGTCACCGCGCAGTCCCGGAAACCTCTTCCTGTTTCTCTGTGGAACATGTCCCGGCAGCCATGATGTTCACCCAGCTCCCTGACGATGTGCTCTTCCACATCCTGTCTCATCTGGATCACAGATCCCTCAGCCGCCTGAGTCAAGTTTGTAAAAGTCTGAATGTTTTTGTAAACCGGGACGCTGTGTGGAGGAAGGCAGCTAAAGGCTGTTTAAACAGCGGGATAACCTGGAACGGGACAGACATGTAAGGAACCAGATGAGGAATCAGCTGATTTCAGTTCCCCCCTCCTTTCAGCTTTAAGCAGATGGGCCGGTCAGCGGTTCCCTCCCTGAGTTCAGACTGCAGGCACACATCATCAGACATACGGGATGATAGTTTTACACCAGAGAGATCATTCATGCAGTTAGAACCCGCGGTGACTTTATCATTTTACCTCTAAACAGCTTAGAAAGGCTATTTAATCCCCAGACTTCCAGTGTCCTCTCTGCATCAGCACCACTTCCACATCCCATCTTCTCATTATCAGAGCAGACGCATCTTCATCAATTGGAGATACAGGCTCCTGTTCCCCCAGCTGTCTGCAGGGGCACATTTAGAAAATCTGGGGCCCTAGGCAAAGACAGGCAGGTGGCCCTCTGAACTGAGAAGAAAACACATAAAACAGACACATTATACAGATAGAGAAATGTTAATAGAATAGACATCCATTATTTGTTCTAGGTTGTGTCCCTCTCTTCTTGTCCCTTTTCTTCTTGTTTTCCTCTCTATGTTTTGTACTCAGCTGACTTTTCATGCTGTCTCTAAAGGAATTAAAGATTTTTTCCAAGCACTAAGCTCACTTAGCTGATTGCTCCTTCCTGTGTTTCCCAAAAGGCCAAAGTAAATAACCCAGTCCTTCTTTTCACTGTAGACAAGCCATGATCTGCTTCTCTGTTCTCCATTTTTCATTTGGATGAAATAATAGCTGCATGAATCATGACAGCAGACAAGATAGAGGAGAGCAGGAGGCGGGGTTACCAATCTACTGGCTCTGGAGAGCAGAGTTCACTGCTTTTAAATGTTGTCTCCAAAGTCTCCAGTAGCAGAAAAAAATTGCTAGATTTGGTCCTAGGCGATTTTTTAAAATCAAAGTGCTAGAGGGGTCTGAAAAGTTGCTAAATATAACGACCAAAGCGCTAAGTTGGAAACACTGCTCTTCACATCATTTGTTTTCAAATGGTTTGCTGCTGTCTGTTTGGACCTTTCTGAACATGAGCAGCAAATGGACTGATCCAATATGGTGGACACTGAAAGGGGGCTGAGACACACTGAACATTATAAGCGTTCTGATGGTATTTTAGCGAAAGGATTTTTATCAAAAACATAATGTGCACAAATAAGGAATAGCTGCATTAACCATACATGTAAAAGGAGTTTTATGGGGCCCCAAGGAACTTGGGGCCCGAGGCATCTGCCTAGTAGGGTCTAGATGGGCCTAAATGGGTCAGGACCTTGCTGGTGGGAAAGAGGCATGAAGAGTTGATCCCTCATCATCACCATCAGCGGTGCATACTTCCATCCTGAGAAGGCAGGGTTTATTTGGGTTTAATTCCACCAATGAGGGATCTGTTCTGGATTCCTGATGTCATATTTAATGATCTGAAAATCAGCAGATGATTTTTATTTCACCCGCTGCTTGAAACTGAAAGGGACCTTTGGTCGATTAATAAAAGGACATCATGGATGGATGAATAGACTGACTGGATAATGTGGAGCTGGTTCTCTCATTGCAGATATCCTGGAATCCCGCTGAAGCAGAGGGTGAAGACGGCCCAGAACTGGTACAACGGAGTCTGCAAGAGGTGGATTCTTCTAAAATGGAAAACAAAGTAAGCTTTGACTCAATCTCATTCGACACCTCTTCCCGATTAGCTGGATGCTGACAGGAACACAGCCATGTTCTGCTCATTCTCTAATGTCCCCCTTTCTCCTTGCTGTTTTCAGGCTGTTACCATGGTTACAGCTCGATAAGGACATGCTATACTTGTCTCAGGCAGCTAAGGTTGGAGCTTACCCTCTGCACCCGTCCAGGAGGCTCCAGACGAATCCCCAGGAGGTGTTTAGGGGCCACCAGGGTGACGTTTGTCGTTTTGTCCTCACAGATTCTCACCTGATCAGTGGAGGAAGGTAACTCTGACACCTTAGAGCTCTGCAACCTTTTGCCCTGAGTTTGGCGAATTAAAAGTTTATACGAGCTACAAAATATTACATGACTTTTTAATAAATGCAGCCTGTTATCTTTGTGAGATATCTGCTATAGGAAATCTGTTGCCATTCAACAGCCAACCGTTACATGGCATGGATCACTGGTCAGATCAGGGAGGGGACCAAAATTACTCAGCACACAGAAGCCTTTGCTGTTTCTGTCATGTGAGAAGGTCTTAAATGATTAAAGTCTGACAGACCAATTTGAATCATAACTGAAATGCTCTTTTTGTTTTTTGATATGCAATGCAGTATCATCTGCATATAGTTGCTTGTTACAGTTTTGCAAACTTTGGGAAAATCATTAACATAGAAGCTAAACGGGCTTGGTCCCATTATGGAACCTTCTGGGAGTTGTGGAAACAGAGTGGCTAAAATGGTAAACTGGGGGGGTCAATATGTGGTAAATGGTAAACTGGTAGCCTCTGTTGTTGTTCATCAGTCTGATAAGGAGGACACTCATGGTTTTCCATAAAAGTTCCCTCTTAGTAACTGTTTGTTTGGATGATGGATCTCCTGGTATAACATCAGAGTGTGTTAGAAACCCTTAAGATAATCAGCTAGAGGCCTGAACCGTGGTTTGTCTGGTTTTTTCAGTGATGGGACGATCGTGGTCCACAACAGGAGGAATCGAATGTCTCTGCAGTTAATTGGTCACAGCCAGGAGGTGAACTGCCTGGACACTAAAGATGGACTCATCATCAGTGGATCCAGAGACCGAACGGCTCGAGTAAGAACATCTACAAAGTTATATTCGACAGAGTTACTCTTCATCTGATAAGTTAAGAGTTTTGATCAGCTTCATTGTTTTACTGGAAAAGATCGAGTTTGGTTAAAATTTTCATTTTAAGCTTCAGACCAACAGTCCTGTTCTTCCTTCTTTTTATCACCACTGTATTTTATCTCAACATAGATTAAAATGTTGTGTCTGGTGACTTTGTTTCTTTAGATGTGGACTTTGACCTCCAGCTCCCCCTTAGCAACAATTTCCATGATTGACAGGGTCTGGTCTGTTGCTATTAGTCCGACACAAAGGTAAGAACTGATTTCTGATCATTTACTGGGCTCAGATTAGCCACTGGGAATCACCCAGTACCGGCTGATTTATGCCCCGTTGAGCGGCACTTATTAACCCCTTACTACCACGTCTATGCAGCCACAGGATTCGTCTGTTTGCATTTGTACGTTTTGATCCCAAGATGGATTAGGAAGTCTGGGCATCTCTGCTTAAAATTGATGTGTTAATGACCAGGTAAAAATATTAGCCTTTCCTTTTGAAGTTAGCTTCAAATCGTATCATCTACACCGTAAACCTGAATATGTTACCAGATTTCTACCATTTTGAGACTGTTTTTCCCTCAATTTGTTTGAGTTTGTAAACCTATCAGACATTGCTTGTGTTATTAAGTAGTGCTTTTCCATTTACATTCCAGTTTTATTAATTTTTTAATTACTGAAGGTCTAAATACTTTACTCATTACTGTAGTTCTATTAACTAGGACCTAATGATTAATTGCCTTTGCAATAACATGGCGATATGATATAAGGGGATTATCTAACCACAAAGGCGGGGATTTGACTGGTCAAGCGACTCTGGAGCAAAGAGCACGGAGGGAGAGAAATGGATGCTCATTTGCGCTGAGCCTGTTGAACGCTGGCCTCAGACCAAACAGAAGCTGACACAGCTGAAAGTTTGGTACCAAAGAGGAGCCGTACGTCACTGCATGGAGTCATGTTAGGTATAAAAAAGAAGATGGTATTGTGCTTTGCTACTATTTCAACCTCACAGGGTAAAACCTTTATCATCTATGGAAGAACACCATAAAGCCGTGTATGACAGCAGCATGGCCATGGCAGCCGAGAGGGACCCCTGACTGAAAGCTTTGAAAGCGTTTTGTCCTTATGCACATAATCTGAATCAGCATGCCATACTAAAAGAGTTTATACCCAAAGACAGAATTTGGAGCATCCCCATTCTCCAGACTGCTCCAGACTGTTCATTCAATCACCTGTTCTCCAGTAACGGAGCCAGCGGGGTAGTTGGGCTGGCAATTGCTACCCCTGTCGCCATCCCGCTCAAAATATTAACACTGTTTGAATTTTACGAACATTTGCGAAGAAACAGTCAAATTTCCCAGCAGACTTGAATGCATCCTCACGTATGTGGGCTACACTTTTCATTGGTTAAGCTAACATGCCGTTCATTCGTGCTCCAAACGGCTACAAAACAATGCAGCAGCAGCACACAGGATCAATGAAAAGCATTTTTACTTTCCTGGTATATATTATTATTGGTACTAAATTAAACAAAGGGCTTTTTTAACGGGGAGTAAGGGAGAAGTTGGACCGCAGTGCTTGTGCTGATATTATCTATGAGTATTATTACTTCAATTATTAGTCTAATTCCGTAAAAATTCAAAAAATATCCACTGGACTTGGTTTTCAAGATTTGAAGACGTTTCGCCACCTCTCCAGGAAGCTTTCTCAATTCAAATGTCTGGATCCGCAGTGAGTTTGAGTCTTATATAGACAACGCCTTGTATCGCTTGGAAACATGCAATGGAAACCGATGAATGGGTCGTTAGTTCTTAGTCATTAGTCTAATGAAATGGAAAAATACCGTCACACTGACATGAAGACACGTAAAGGACCTGTTGTTAGCAAAATGTTCAACAACAATCACAGAAAAGAGGTAGATATATTCATAATGGGCTGTGTAATGCAGCTTATTCCTTGTGTAGGAATTGGGGGCCATAATTCCTAAAAGAGGAGCATCTGCTTGCTTTGGGGAAAACATTTGAGTCAGACTTGAAAGCATGAGCTTCATCAAACCAGACGGCTTCTGTTAAGAAGGGAGAAAAGTGGAGAGAGACCAGCTTCTCTACTTGAGTTTGTTGTGTTTTTAGAACCTTACAAAGAGGTTTTTCATGAACTTTTCAGGCTGAGTAAAACTTGCCTTGTGATTCCAGTTAGAACTGCTCCCTGTGAAAGAAGTTTCTCTGCCCTTAAATGAATGAAAACCCACCTTAGGACAACAATGGCAGATGATAGATGCAGTGTTGAGTCAAGGAGGGCATATTCCCTAAATATGGAGGACTTTGTTAAACATTTTACTTTATCTCGCCAGAACGGCAGAATTTAGCTGTTCTGATTGTTTTTGTGAACTTGGTGATGTCATATCACTGGGCAGTGGTCAACTATAGTCAGCTTTAAAGGGTTGTATGTTTTTTGTTTTGTTGTTCTATTCTTCTTCTTCTTCTGGTACACATTTAAATGTGCACCGCTGCTTGTCCTGCCTTGTTTTGACACGTCCAAATGTACCTCAAGTTTTTGTTTTCTACTGGATTTGATTAGTCCAAGGAGCGCATTGAGTACTTGTTTATTTCTATTTCTGCTGCATACCTAATTGTACAGTACATAATTGTATACATTTTGGACAAACATTTTTTATTTAATTATTATAAATTTTGCGTTAAAAAATTATTGTTTGTAGCCTAACTGAACCCTATATATATTGACCTCCCCAAATAATACCTTTGCCACCCCTGTTTAAAAGTCTAGCACCACCACTGCTGTTCTCCGAACCCAGTTTATCACTAAATACCACACTAAACCACATTTCTCGTTACTTAGAAGCAATTGTTCATGGAAAGAGAGATGGAAAGATGATGGACGACAGACGCATCTGGAGATGAATAGTACAGGTTTGTCTGTGTTGGGGAGGGGTAATTAATTAAAACAACGCATTTTTCAAATCCCAGAGGCACTGATTTTGGTCATATTACATTTAAAAGAGAAGTCAGGTCAGCAAGGAATAATCAATGCATTAATATACCTAAAATTAATATGTTCACTGTCATTTAATGAATTAATCAGTTAAACAAAATAATAACAAAATCTTCAACAACAATTATTGAAGATTTCCAGAGGACTTCACCATTTAAAATTCACCAGAGCTATAGTGAAACTGACAATGCCCACATGCATGGCAGCTGGATGTTGGAATACATCGGGTAAAAGTGAAGAAAAAGTTATTTCACCTTTCCGATTCCGGGTTCGTTGTTGGATCGCCAACGTGAAGAGGGAGGATTTGCCATCGAACTTCTGGCCAGAGAAAAAACACGTAATATGTAGCCAACATTTGGAAGAAGAATGTTTTCAAGATGACTTGGATCATAGCGCGTTGTGACAAACACCAGATACAGCACTGGGACTTGATCAACAACCGATACCGCACCGTGACGTCACAAACCAGTAGGTGGCAGTAGTGTTCTTTGACAAACATGGATGCCTCCAGTAAAGCACATTCAAATGAAGATTACTCTTAATTAAAAACATTTGTAATTTATTAGTGTTGCACCGATACCAATATCAGGCTGTAAAATTCAGCTTGATTAAAAGCAGAACTCACAAATACTCAATGGGGATTCTGTCACAGAAAAACAAGTAAAATATTCTACATTATAAATTGGATACGAAAGAAAAAATATCCAACCACTTAGTAAGTTTATGTTGATTTTTAGCAACAAAGATTTATAAAAAAAAAAATGACAATACTACCAAGAATCAAGTTTCATTCAATAATAATTCAGAATAAATAGATCAATAACCAAAAATCCTTGATAACCAATTTATAAGTAAACTCAAACTCTCAATTTATATCTGCAAAAAAAAAGACCCTAATAAATGAAAGTCAAAAACTGCCTGATCTTTTTATTTTTAATAATAATGTCCAAAAAGGAGTTCCATAGCCTCCAAACTCAAAGCAAAGTCCTGGAAGTGTTTAAGTCCAAAGTCCGTTCCAAAATGAAAAATCCAAATGACAACCCCCCCAAAAAAAGATTACCACCAAAAGTAAAATTAAAGGAATAGTACACCCAAAACATGATTAGCCTTCATTTTCTACTCACCCCCATGCTGAACAACACTCTGGAGTACTTTTTTGATATCTCAAATGCATCTGGAGATCTGGGAGGCTTCTTGCTGTATGCTGACATTCAAATAATGGAGGTCTGTGGTGCCCGAGACAGAAAGGTCCATAAAAGTCCACAAAAAACGTGTCAATATTCCTCCATACTGCTCGTCCAATGTATTCCAAGTGTCCTGAGTGGGTAGCATCCAGAATTTACTCGAAACGAAGTCATTTAGAATGTTTTTAGAGCATAAACAGTAGTATATAGGATTTCCTGAAAGCGCGCACATGCGAGTTCACGACGCTACGGAAACCGCGGCAGACCAAACCAGATGAAAGTGCGCATTCAGCTCGGCAAAGAACTCATGCTCTTCCTCAACACTGAAGTCCTCAGACATTTTTCTTTCGTTGTTTCTTTCTTTGCACAGGTAAACAGCACATTTCTTCTTCTACGCTTGCATTATCGGCAGAGCAGATGCTGAATGTGCACTTTCATCTGGTTTGGTCTGCCGCGGTTTCCGTAGCGTTGTGAACGCGCAGGCGCGCGCTTTCAGGAAATCCTATACACTACTGTTTATGCTCTAAAAACATTCTAAATGACTTCGTTTCGAGTAAATTCTGGATGCTACCCACTCAGGACACTTGGAATACATTGGACGAGCAGTATGGAGGAATATTGACACGTTTTTTGTGGACTTTTATGGACCTTTCTGTCTCGGGCACAATAGACCTCCATTATTTGAATGTCAGCAGACAGCAAGAAGCCTCCCAGATCTCCAGATGCATTTGAGATATCAAAAAAGTACTCCAGAGTGTTGTTCAGCATGGGGGTGAGTAGAAAATGAAGGCTAATCATGTTTTGGGTGTACTATTCCTTTAAAGGAAGGTCCAGATCTCACCGGGAGCGTACTACTTTCCCCTGGGCGGTGTCTTTTTGCACCGGGCGGTGTACTCTGGGTGCTAACTCCGATCAGTTCTCTTGATGCCTGTTTTGTGGCGCAGGGACAAACTTTGATTGCCATTTAAACTTTCTTCTTTTATGGTTAACTTGTTTCTAACATACAACCAAACAAAAACTCCCACTGCGCAGATCTGTCAGTGCCGACACGCAGGGATGCACACG